GTACATACATAGATGATAAAATGGGCACAATTCAGCAAGCAATAAAAAAAATGAACAGAAAATAAAAACAGTGGAAACAAGAGCGGAACAAACAGAAAATAAATTAGAGCTGGTAGATGAAAAGATGATGGTGATAAATAAAGACCTAGAAGATTCACTTATACATTTGGAGTTGGACCATGCAGCATTTTATTTAAGATTCCAGAATGTCACAGAGACCAAAGAAGAAGATCTAGAAATGATAATGACAGAACTGATAGCAGAAGCTCTGCAAAGAGACAAACAGGAAATCCTGAATGAATTGGACGAAGTATATAGAATTCACATGAATTACGCCAGAAAGCATGGATTGCTGAGAGAAATTCACATCAGGTTTGCACGAAAAAAAGTAAGAGACATAATTTATAGGATAATAAGAGATAAACTGATGATCTACAAAGAGAAAGAGATACAACATTGAAGCAGATCCCGAGAAGGGTGACAGATCAGAGAAGGGACTACCACTTCTTGGCAACACAACTGACTGAATGGAATATATTGTTCAGATGGTTAGTACTGGAAGGAATGCTGGTTTCTTAGCAGGAGAAAAAGATTAAAGTTGACAATTTAGGCAAGGCACAGGAACTGTACAATCAACTTGTGGGGATGGAAGAAGAACAGAGTAGCAGAGAAGAACTAGAGTCCAGAAGCCAAGAAGAGCAACAACACAGAATAAAAGAAGTAGAGCAGGAAGAAAGAAGCAGGAAGGAGAAAGAACAGCATTAAAAGGAAAGTGCAAGAGCAAGAATACAAAGAGACACAAGGGCCAACAGAAGACAAAGACAAATGCACAAATAGGAGAATGGGAGAAGAAATTTAAGCTAATATCAATAAATATCAATGGATTAAACTCACCTGCTAAAAGAAAGCAAACATTTGTAAAATTAGTAAAATAAAAAATGGATATAGTGTTCCTGCAGGAGATACATATTAAAAAACAACATAGGAATTGTTTAGAATACCCCAAATTAGGAACACTCTATGTGGCATTGGCAGATGAAAAAGAATGGATAGCTGAAAAAGAATGGATAGGGAAGGGATAAAAGCAAAATTAATTTACGCAGATATAAAAGGAAGAATATGGAAAGTTACAACATAATATGGAAGAGAAAAAAAGGATTACTTAAAATTATTTTGAAGGCCATTACAAGAAGAAATAGCGAAGGGCAAAATAAGGGATTATTTAAAAGGGGAAAATATTCCTCCGAAAGCAGAAGAAAAGAGAGAAATGTTAAACAGGGAAATAACACCAACAAAACTGAAAAAGGTAGTGCAAAAACAGAAAAATAACAAAACTCCAGGTCCAGATGGACTTCCAGGGGAAATATATAAGAATATGGGCAAACTGATAGAACCATTAATGTTAGAAGTGTACAATGACGCACTGATGGAAGCAAGGATATCTGAATCTTGGAGGGAAGCTTATATCTCCTTAATACCAAAGAAGAGTACAGATAACAAACAAATTCAAAATTATAGGCCAATGTCATTGTTAAATGTCGACTATAAAATATTCACAAATATAATAGCAAAAAAGGATGAAAAATTTATTAAACGAATCCATACATTAAGATCAAAATGGATTCTTGCTGACAAGACAAATTAGGAATAAAACAAGAACGGTAGTAAACATATTGGAGGACTATGAAGCCCATCCAGAAAAACAAGCTGCTCTAATTTTTCTGGATGCTCAAAAGGTTTTTGATAATTTAAATTGGCAGTTCATGATGCAACAAATTAAAGATATGATTTAGGAGACAAATCTGAGAAAATGATAGAGGCGACATATACCACTCAAAAGGTGAATATACTATTAAATGGGGATAGTTACAGAGACTTTCAAAATAACGAAAGGGATAAGACAGGGATGTCCTTTGTTACCTCTACTTTTTATCCTGACACTAGAAATATTATTAATTCCAATTAGATAAAATCCAGAAATTAAAGGAACTAAAATAAAAAAAGAAGAATATAAAATTCAGGCTTTTGCAGATGACTTGGTTTATTTCATAGAAGACCCATTGGAGACAGGAAACATTTTAATTCAAGAAAAAATATGGAGAAGTGGCAAGTCTCAAAATTAATAGAGAAAAGACTAAAATATTAGCTAAAAATTTAACAGAGAATCAGAAAAGAGAATTAGAAAAGGAAATGTGACTGCAAATCACAAAGAAAGTCAAATACCTAGGAATATGGTTAACTGAGAGATATTCCTCGATGAAAGAAAATAATTATATGAAACTTGTTGCAACAAATAAAGAAAGACTTGGAATTGTGGGGGAAATTACAATTATCTTTACTAGGAAGAATCACTACGATTAAAATGAATGTTCTACCTATTTTACCTATTTCAAACAATCCCTATACAATTAGATAACTTTTTTATGGAATTAAACAAAATTACTTTAAAATTCATATGATTAGGCAAGAAGGCTTGAATAAAATTAATAGCACTACAAGATAGTAGAAGTAGAGATGGCTTTGGACTTCCAGAATGGGAACTTTACTATAGCGCTGCAGCCTTGGCATGTATTAAAAATTGGATAAATTTGAATAACGAAAGGATTTTAACTCTGGTAGGACATGATTTACAGATGACGTAGCACACCTTCTTGTGGGAAAAGAGAAGCAAGAAGCATACATACTTTTACAGACATCAAACGAGAGATTCTCTGATACAGATTTGGGAAAAGATTAGGAGAAAACATTATTTGAAAATATCTGGTTGGCTATGCACCATGGAGGCGATGATTTGCCCCAATACATTGGTTTAGGCAAAATAGTTAGATATAAAGAAATATTAGATAATCAGGGAAAATTAAAAACTAATAGGAGTTAAAAGACCAAGGCATATTTAAAGATTGGTGGCCATATCTTCAACTGCAAATGAGACACAAAAAAGATGCAGAAGAATACGGATTTGATATTGAGTTGCAACAATTAGACAAAATTTTAGTAGGCCTGGAGGAGAAATTTATAACAAGGATGTATAATTATTTATTAAAATTTGACACAGAAGAGGAAGTAGTAAAAATTTTTTTGCATGGGCAAAAATTTTGGACACAAAATTTGGGAAAATTGGGAAAAAGATTAGGAAAAAATATGGAATAAAAACTATAAATTAACAAGATCGGCAGCTTATAAAGAGAATCTATATACGATGTTTACTTATGGCATTTGGTACCAATGAGATTGGCAAAAATGTATCCCAATATGAATCCAAGATGCTGGAAATGCAAACAAAGCCAAGATACCTTTTTCCATATGTGGTGGCTATTCTCAGAAGCCCAAAAATACTGGGTCAAAATATGGAATTGGCTACAAGAAATAGTGGAAGACCAGATAGAGTTTAAACCTGAACTATTCCTTTTAGGAATAATAAAGGGGAAATATAGTAAAAAGATTAAATATGTGATACTACACATAACGATAGCAGCGAGGACTGCATTTCCACAATATTGGAAGCAAGATAGCATGCCACTGGAGGAATTAGTAATCCAAAAGATATTGGATTGTGCTGAAATGGATAAACTCACGCTAGAGTTAAATGATAACAAAGAGTCAGAGTATTATGTGGTTTGGGACAACTGGTACAAATGGCTGAATAGTAGAAATAAGAATGATAGAGATTAGAAAATCGTAGATAAATGTATATGAATGTATATAAATGTATGAAAATTTGTATATATAATAATGATGTCACAGTTCCATTAAAAATGAGAATAAGATTGGTAAAATGTGAAAAAGCCTAAAAAAGAGATCAATAGTTTCTAAAAAGTTAAAACTTTGTGAATTTATTTAACAATAACATTAAATTTAGACACAGCTAGGTATAAGTTGCTTCTATATGAGAACAGTGCTCAGCACTTATTTACAGATGTGTCACCTGGAGTCAGAAGGTATATAAATTTAATATATTATAGTTGGTAACACAGTCATCCAGATATTTAGACTGCATTTGTATTTCAACCCACATATAGAGTCTTTTCCAGTGACTTGGGAAAGGCAGAAGTTGTTGTCTTGATAGTGTTATTATTATTATTTGTGGTACTTTACCAAAAAGACCAGTATCATCTCTTTTTTTGCATTGATTGTCTGTTTTTTTTCTATTCTATCCTATCCATCCTATTTTTTTATTCTATTAATTGCTTCTTTCTTCATATCACTCTTTCCATATTCTCTTAACTTTCCTACTTGGCTTCCTTATAAGCTTTGGAGGAGTGCAACTAATCTACCATTTTGTGAAAGATGGATGTAACATGTATGACATCCCTTTTCATTTATTTAGATTTAAGGTATAGAATGGTATTTATATCTCTTTGTTTGAGTCCATTCTGAGTTCTGTAGCCTTTATTATGAGATAGGCAAAGAGATAGTCAGAGATAAGGTAACGCATAAATATTTTAGAATAAAAACAGAGCAGTGTTTTAAAATAAAACTTATAAATAAAAATAAATAAAATTAAATATCATCTCTAAAATAAGTAACTTTTTCTTAATTAATGACTATCTTCTCTGGTTAAAGGCCAAAGTATTTTTGTAGGAATACATGAAAAGCATCAAGTTTCTGGCTACCTTATACATTATCTGAAAAAATCTCCTGGGGTGAGTGAGAACATTCAGGCTCAAACATTTGTCCATATTTATATTGCAAGATGTCAACTTTGAATGTTATTGTCTGTGATAAGTTGGAAAAAGCCAACTGCTGTGATTGTTGGCATTTTAAATACATAAGGTCCCCACATAATTAAATTGTATTTTTCCTAATTACATTCCATTGGGAATTTTACTCTCTCATTACTATACAACTTGACCAAAGCCTCATTATGAGGATTAATCTGCCAATCTCCAATACATTTAATAACATTAGCAAAAATATCTGCAGGGGAAGATATCTCATTAAATCACATTTGTCTGCATTTCTCTTTCATTCAGTAAAGTTAATATAAACAGTTGGCTTACCTTGTCATCTAATTTTCTTGCACTAAAAGAAAGCTCAACATAGTCATCATTGCCAGATAATTCTTCAGCGATTACCTATGTGAAAAGACAATGGAAGGCAAGGAATGAGGAATAAAATCTTAGGCAACACAATCTAATGATATGCATGCATGGAGAACAGAAAGATTCATGAGGCCACAATGTGATAACTTCACTATCAGGAATGGAACACAAATGCCAATATAATTAACAAATATTCCATTTCTGCATTCTTGCAGGCCATGTTCTCCAGAACATGACTGGGAATCAGAAGCGAACACATACTTCCAAACCTTTGACATATAACATTATTTTATATGTTGATATGTTATTTGAAACATTTTATCATATATATAATATTTGATATGAATCACTATTAATATATCCATATCCTTTTTATTGTATATATTATACTATAATATCTTAGTATTAATTTGCATACTGTACATATTATGCATTGTTGCATTGTTATCACTCAATGTCCAGAATAATCTGAAGGTTTACAATATTTCAAATTTGCATATTGATCTGAAAAAAGCTTCATTTTCATTTAAAAATGAAAACTAAACACACTTGGCCTCTCATTCAAGTACAAGCATGGAGCTTTCTAACCCTTTGAGAGTTAAAAGCCAGACTTTTATAGAAAGATGTTAAGGTATAACATACAATGTCTATGGAGAGATATAATATGCAAATGTGATTTTACTCCCAATATTCATTTACCTAAAAAAATGTTTACTAAATAAAAGGAATAGGGAGGCTTGTTTATCTGCATCAAACAAAACAATGAGAACTACTAGGAACCAGATAAAATGGCTTTGAAATTGAAGCCAACGTTGTGATTTGAAATGATGTGTTTAATTGTTGTGGCCTTGTTATCTACATGCCCAAACATGTGAAAAGAGCAAAAGAACTATATGAGCTGGGCACAACTATATCTGCAGCAGGGGTGGGATTTAAATTTTTTAACAACCAGTTCTGTGGGTGTGGCTAGGTGGGCGTGGCTAGGTGGGCATGGCCATGTGACTGGGTGGGCATGGCTTCTTATTTTTTTTTTGGCAGCAACCCCCCCATTTTTTTTTGCCTCCTGGGCCTCAGGGAAGCCTCCATTTTTGCTCCCAGAAGGCTTCCCTGGAGCCCAGGATGGCAAAACACGGAGCACAGGGGGGATGCGCAGCAACCCTTATGCTCCTTTTTTGGGCCTACTGGGCCTCAGGGAAGCCTCTTGGGAGGTATTTTTGCTCCCTGCACCCCTTTTGCCTCCTGGGCCTCAGGAAAGCCTCCTGGGTGAAACAGTAAGACAGCAAGGAGGATCCTAGCACAGCTGATCTCGAAACAGCTGATCATTGGGAAGAAAAAAAAACCTTAAGGAGTGACTGGGCAGGGGAGAACTCGGTCAGCGACATCGGGCATGTGTGCGATGTTGCCCATGCATGACAAGAACTGACTGGGAGGGGAGTGGCGGGCAGAGAAGGGAGGGGCCAGCCAGGGGCACGATTTGCCGGTTCTCCAAACTGTGCAGAATCATAACTAGTTCTATAGAACTAGTCCGAACCGGTACAATCCCACCCCTGATCTGCAGGCCATACTCATGATAGTGCTTATGTTTCTCTAAATTCATGAAAATAGCTTCCACATTGGGCAAATTTTATGAAGGTAGCTTAGTGAGATAACCACTAGACACTCCTGTCCCTTTTCCATGCATTCAGGGACAATGAAATGATTGGAGAATAGAGTGATGACATTATATGATTACAAATTGGAATTTTACACTCAGTATTTGTAATTCTGTCATATAAGACAATCTTCTCAGTCGCAGGCCTATAAAAATCTGCAAGAATCTCAAATGTTTGGAAAGACAAATTTCATATTATTTACTATTCTGCAAGTGGCAATTTATATGTAAAAAGTGGTCCATTTCAATTTTGTATATAACTCACATAATCTGTTGCATTTTGTTTTTTCCAGCCTGGATAAAAAAGAATTGAATTGCACAGAATACAAACTCAATGTGAGTTATTGCAATACAGAACTTATTTATCTCTTCATTTTGTCACTTTGAAGCTGACGAAGCATCTTTAAGGTGTTTGATGTGCAATTGTGAGATTAAAATATACTTAGAAAAAAAATATCTGTTGACACCCTACTGTGTGGACATGCTTTTATTTTCTTAAAGTTAATGGAAGCCTTTGTCAATCAGGAACCTTCTGACATGCTATCGTAATCTTCTATTGTTAACGTAACAACAAACCGTGCCTGTTGGATTGTTGAACATCTTTTCCAAAACATAAGGGAAACACAGTCTGCTCAGAGGAGTCAATATTGATAACATGGCAGAGGCAGACTTGTAAAATAACTCCATCCTTTCTCTTAATAGAATAAAGCGGCAGGGATTTGGGATTGTGATGCTATCTTCAAATGTTGATGACTGCCCCACCTACCCACTGAGACACCAGTTTGGTCAAGGGTGGTTTTTTATCTCAAATATTTTCACTGTATTTTTCACACAAATATTGCTGGGCATTTGATTAGTCCTAAACAAAACTGCTGTTCCAGGCTTACGCTGAAGTGACACAAGCTAATTCAATTTACATTTCCTGTCATGGGGCTCACTTAATTATAGGTCCCTCACAACAATTTTAAATTTCATTCCAATTTAAAATGTTGTCTTTATGACCACATAGTAATATTATATTATTGGTTATTCCATTGTTCATGTAATGGGAAACTAATGAAAACAGTTCTCTGAGATGTCAGCAGTAACATTTAATTTAAAAGTATATATTTCTGTAGTGCTTTTCAGATTTCAAAGTTGTAAAAATAAGACTGAGAAGTGAAAGTTTCACAAAGAATTACATGTGGTGAGATAAAATTCAATTTTAAAAGAAAAATGATTGGGTTAAGAGGACAGCAACCATTATGCTGTTGCTCTATACTTAAGGCTAACAATTGCTGATTTGAAATTGAAGGAATATACACCCTAGTGCAGGAGTGTCAAACTTACCATTGTCACAGCGACATCACGTGACATATCAGGACTTTTTCCCCCTTCACTAAACTAGGTGGGGGCATGGCCAGCACATGACCTATCCTGCCCGCGGGCCGTGAGTGTGACAGCCCTGTCTTAATGCCTTATAAAATTTGCTTTTCTACCTGTAAACTAGTCTAATGCAGGTATATTTTGTGAAGAGCAGATCATTCAATCAATAAGTTAACACATATTTTTAAACACATGCTATGTTTTATCATTGTCAGGTTTTGGAAAATAGTGTGCATATGCCAACAAAGGATTTCTATTTAAAATTCAGGAAAGATTGAGAAAACTAATGTTAAATGTGTATTACCTTCCCCCCCCCTCAAGATGAAAGGGAGAAAACATTAGGACAGATAGACCTACCGTTATGGAAGATTTCCCTGCTGTGTTGGCATGCTTCAATAAAGATTTTGAGAGTTTTCTCTGAGAAACAATCTGTATATAATAAAAAAAGAAAACTTGATCAAATGAGCTACAGTTTATGTCTGGATGATATATGCATGCAATTTACTGAACAATCAACAGAAAACAAATTAAAAAGACTATGCCACATAATTTTAAAATATGCTTTGAAATTATAAAGCACAGTAAAATTTAAGCCTCTACAGTAAGCACAATAGTTCACAATAATTGGTGAAAAAATCCTATGTTAAATGATGAGTAAATGAATCACACAAGAAAGGGAACAACAAATTCCAGACTTCAGATGTAGCCATAGAGTAGCCCATTTCAGTTATTTTATTTTTGCTTAGACATCACTGCTTCTCTCTGGAACTGTCATCTATAATGTGGCTAAAAGATCTACAGACCTGTCATTCTCTGAGTTTCCAGTTATCTGTCATATGCTCACTTAATTTTCCAGAGAAAATATGACCTGCACCTGTTTTCTTTTCCCATAGCTTTGCAGTAAATCAGTATCAGCAACAGCTGCTATAGCAGAGGAAAGAAAACTCTGAAAAAGGAGGCTTAGAAAGGAACAGTTTTTATCCACCACTGGAAGGTGAAGATTAAATGCAAGATAAAAAATATTCGTGTTTGCTTTAAAAATGTATTAAAAATCACATTTTTAACATTTCTGAGAAAAAGTGCTGTTTTTTACTATTCATTACAGGAAAAAAATGATAATTCTCTTGCAAAAAATGGGGAAAGGCTTTTTGATGGAACTACATTAGCTTTACATAATGTATGTAACAAACATTACAATTCCCTCTTGTTTTTGGTGGATTGCCTCTAATTTAGCTCTCAAGAGGTGAGCATAACTTTTGGTTCAACTATGTTATACACATCAGAACTTGCACTCTGCTCCCATAATCTGACTTAATTTAATATAGTGCATATTACATCTGACTTAATTTAATATAGTGCATATTTAAATGTTAGCAGGTGCAAGCAGCAAATTCATCTCACCTTATCTTGGAAGCCAAACCTTTTGTCCTGATTAGGTTAAAAAAAGTTAATATGCCAGGCCTAGAGAAATCTAAAAAGGCTACAAATCTACTTCTATAACACTGCCAAGAAAACTGCATGGATACAGCTATCAGAAATGAGCCAAAAATATCACTGATAATGTAAATAATATTAAATGTTTAATGTGTAAATAACAGTGGTATTGCAATATTAATAATTGCCTCAGGTTTACGGCCAATTGAAGATTTGAACCCATGTTTCGCTGTCTTAACCCAAAGCCAATGTTGCAAATAATGTCATTAAGATGTATGAGCTTGGACAAATTGCAGTATGAACTGAATAATTCTACCTACTTCACTGTGTTGCTTGAAGGAAAAAAACCCAGAGAAAATTATTTTAGGCAATTTGAGCAACTTCCTAGAGAGACAAGAATACAAAGGGAGTAAATAATATAATAAAAGTGAGATAGATTACAATTCTGTCAATAAAATACATTAGAAGATTTCTGGTGGAGCTTCATATGCTGAAATACATACTAGCATAGAAGCAATTTTTTCATAAATAGAACAGCTGGTCTTATTTTGATCACTGTGTTGTTCATTTCCTTTAAAGGGCAATTTGGGCAATGTTGCCACAGCAAACTGTTTCAGGATAGAGTGGGTTGGGTTGGACAGGGATTTTGTACTAGGTTTGTGTTTTTTTCTATGAGTGACGTGTTTCTATCTGTCTTCTTCCTCTAAGGGCTCAATTCTTTTAGAAGTTGTTTGATCATTGTTATGTTCAATTTGCTATATATTTCTTGCAAGGTTTGGGATTTCTCATTTTGTAGGTTGAGTTTCAGAATGGTTAGAGTTCCTTCTAGATCCTTTACTTTTTCTTCTAGCAGCTTGATTTGTTTACCTTTGGTACATATACAGTTAGGTTATTCTTTGGACATAAGTGTATCCATGGAACATGTTCTGCAGATCACAATAGTATCAGTTTCTTTTTCCATGAATGGATTTTTTTAAAAATTGAAAATGAAAGTGTAGGTTTTACTACAGATTTTTAAAAGTGAAAAATGTCCCATTTAGAATTTTGGTACTCTAACAAATCATTTAAAATTTAGGGGGGGAAGTCTAGCTAAAAATTTAAAGTTCTATCAGTTAAAAATGTCTAGTTTAAGGATTTAAAGTTATATAGTTCAAAATTATCTACTTTAAAAATTTAAAGTTCTAGCAGATAATTTAAACTGTTCAATTTTAAAATTTTCAGTGTTGATGGGCTTAAGTGCAAGGTTCTTAGCCTATCCTGGAATATTCTATAATTATCCCTTTCCTCCCTTCCTTTTTATGATCCTTTCCCTCCCTGCCTTCTGATAGGCTTAATTCTTTCTTCTTTGCCTTTATATGTTCCGTACTTGCTACTTTCCTTTGATTTATTTTGCTTTGTGTCCTATGTTGTCTTTTTATCTTCTCTTCCTACTTGCTTTTCTCCTGCCACTACTGGGTATTCAGCTCTCCCTGCTTTTCTCAGTTCGTGGCATTCCCGCCCCCCACACCCGTTTGTTGGTCTGTTGTGCTGCTCTGTTGCCATTCTCAGTCACCAGTTTGCTGATTCCCTTTGCTGCAATGCTCCACCACCACCGACAGCCTCAGGTTCCACCAATGCTTCCCACGCTCCTCTCTGCGTTGCTCTCAAGATCTTCTTCTTTTTGCTGCTGGCTCTCCTTTCAGTTGCACTACCACTGCACTTGGTTCTTTGGCCGCTTGACTCCCATTTGCGCTGCTTCACGCCTGGATAGCCTATGGTGAGCTTGCCTCTTGTCTCCTCTCTACAGCTAGTTCTCCTCCTCCCTGCTCACATCAGCTCATCCTTTTCATCTCTGCTGGTCGTTACTTTGCCCTCAGTTGGCTCGCCTCTCTGCCCCATTGATGATTTTCCTCACTGCTCCACAGCTGGGCCCCACTTGCTCACCAGCTTGCCTCCTTGTATTCTGCTGGATCATTTTGCTTCTCTGCTCACTTCACTTCAATGGGCTTCCGGGCTCTTGAGTAGGCCTCTCAGGTGCAGCTGGTATTCTCTTAGCAGGCTGTTTGTTGTGGATCATTTTCCTCCTATTTCTCCAATCTTTCCTCTTCTTTTCTTTCTCCACTTTTTTCTTTCTCTATGATTTATTCTGTGATTCATCTTTCCCTCTCCACCTCTCCTCCTATCATTTATCTTCATTTCATAGCAACTTTTCTCTTCTTTTAACTCTCTGCGATATAACTATGCTTCCTCCATTGCTGCCATCTTGGAGGTGATCATGTGTTGGTACTCAACCATGTGTACGCTCCACTAGAAGAGGTTGCTAACATTTTACCTTGAGTTTGGAGTATTATCAGGCCCAGAACTGACCCCCAATTTGGGATTAATGACCAGATTCCTAATACCACTGACCTTTATGGATATTCCACGTTTTTGTATAAAGCTTCATCACAGTGGCATACTAAGGAATGTGACATCTAGAACAATTGTTTTTTAATACTTCTTTTCTCTATACTACAAAATTATATTCAGTAATAATTATGAAATGCAATGAATAATAGCAATGGCCATAAATACACACACACACACACACACACACACACACACAGACACACATTCTGTTTTGAGCCTTAACTTTTGTCTATTTTTAATGACCATTAACATTGATATTTATTGTGTATTTATATTTAAGTGACAATACAGCCATTGTCAATCTATTGTCAATTCATAGTTGACTAAAGTCATTTTATTAATTATTAATTTCAATATTAAAAAACTTCTTTCACACAAATCAACAAGTATACTAATTAGGAAATGTTCCACTTTAGTGAGGTGGTGACTTTGGGCCAGTCAGTCTGATTCAGCCCAACTGGAAAAAAAAGGAGGAGGGAATATTAAATATGTTTAATTCATTGAGTTATTTATAAAAATAATAAAGGCAGAATGAAAATAAGTGATGGATAGATGAATTGACGGATAGATAAGCTTGGTAGAAATTCATTAAAAACCAATTTTACAATGAATCCCTCAAATTACAATACTGTATATGTCTTTGTTTCTTTGGCATTCTAGTGGTTTTTAAATGACCCCAAAGATGAAAATTTTCCTCTAAAATATCTTCACAGGAAAATGTGTTATAAATTTCTGTTACACTTGATAACATCCTCCAGAGGTTTTTTTTAAATAGCAGAAATGGATGAATAGTGAATCATAGTGAACATTGCCATTATTTGATACATTTCTTTAGAATAAGTGCCTAGCAATAGGTAAAACAGGCAAGGTATTGTGCTTTTGATTTCTTTTGGCATCATATGACTAGCATCGTTTACACTTTCTCCTGGCCTCTTCATTAAAATTTAATTCTTTCTCTACATTAATTCCCATTTCCTTACATGTTATAATTTGATAATAAATGGCCTTCTCCACAATTTCTGGACACCAAGGAACAAAGCTTAGAGTTTCACTGCATATTGTTCGAAGCCAATTCTCCTATTTGCAAATACTGTATCTTTGTGTCAGATTAACTTTATTTTTATTTATTTATTTGACAAGCAAGTATTAGATAACAGGTATAAGTATAAACATGGTTATAAGTACAAAAAATGGATAAAAATAAAAAGAAGCAATAGGACAGGGATGGTAGTCATGTTGGTGTGCTTATGCATGCCCCCTACACACCTCTTAGGAAAGGGGTGAGGTCAATAGTAGACAGTCTAAGTTTAAAGTTTTTGGGGTTTGGGGAAGAAACCACAGAGTCAGGTAGAGTATTTCAGACATTGACCACTCTGTTGCTGAAGTCGTATTTCCTGCAATCAAGTTTGGTGCAGTTTACCTTGAGTTTGTATCTATTTTGTGCTCTTGTATTGTGGTTGAAGCTGAAGTATTAATTGACAGGTAGGACATTGTAGTAGATAATTTTATGTACTATACTTAGATCGGACCGAAGGCGGCATAATTCTAGATTGTCTAAGTCTAAAATTTCAAGTCTGGTGGCATAAGGTATTCTGCTATGAGTAGAGGAGTGGAGAACTCTTCTCGTGAAATATTTCTGGACTTTCTCGACTGTATTAATATCTGATATGTAATGCGGATTTCAGACTGATGAGCTGTATTCAAGTATTGGTCTAGCAAATGTTTTGTATGCTCTAGTTAATTGTGTGATATTACCGGAGAAAAAGCTACACAGGATTAGGTTAACAACTCTTAATGCCTTTTTGGCTATGTAGTTACAGTGGACTCTAGCACTTATATCATTAGAGATGAGTACTCCAAGGTCCTTGACGTAGTTGGGGACATCAACAAGGTCTTGACTATTCAGCTTCCATTTTATTTTCTGATTTTTTTTGCCAATATGTAAGACAGAGCATTTATTTGTTGAGATTTGAAGTTTCCACTTGTTTGACCATTCTGACACATAGTCGAGGTCATTTTGAAGGGTAGCAGTATTGTCAGTGATGTTGAATAGCTTTATATCATCAGCAAAAAGAATGTAGTTGCTCTTAATATAATCACAGAGGTAACTTATGTAGAGTATACAGAGAGTTGGTCCTAGAACGCTGCCTTGGGGGACACCTCTGTTGACAGGTACAGGATTTGATAGGGCGATCCCCATTTTGACAATTTGTTGCCTGTTTGACAGGAATGCATCTATCCACTTATGCAGGTGTCCAGAGATACCATAAGAGTTTAGTTTTAGAAGTAGTTTGTTGTGTACCACTGAATCAAAGGCTTTACAGAAGTCTATGTAAATAGCGTCAATTGCCCTGATCAACTTGTATAGTCCATATGTTTTTGCAGTGTAGGAATTGCAGATAACAGGATAGTTTTTTTCTGAAACCAAATTGTTTGTTAGAGAGTAGGTTGTTTGTCTCTAACTTCTTCCAAAACTTCACATCAGAAAAATAGATAACCTAGAAAAGTTATTTTGGTTTTGAATAAGCTATCCCAACTCTCAATAATTCTCCATTTCATAAGTATTTCTGAAACCATTAAGTTGCTTTTTATCTTTCTCAGTGATAAAGGACCATCTTTATTCTGAAGAATTTATCTTCCCTTCTTAACCAGATTAACTCTCAAGTTGTCTGGAACTTCACCAAGCAGTGATGTACAATAAATTAAAACATCATTCATTTTCTCTTCTTCATTAAAATTTTGGTCAGTACTAGTGTCTCTTTTTTTTGCCCCCCCCCCAATACTATTTGTGTTGATTCTTACTAATATTACATTTCTCTTCTCCCAATGCTTATTGTGCCTTTCAAACCTGTCAAATCTTTTGTTGCTTCTAGTGTAGGTGCCTTGGATGTACTAACTCGTATTTCTTCCGAATTTTTTTAACTATACATGATGTTGAAGGCATTACATATTTCACAATATAACCAGACATTGCTTCAGTTACTCCATCTGTCAATGTTATTTTATCATGGTACCATACCCTACTCATCATGATACCATATCCCACTCATTCAGCTCATTTGTCAAATCTTTATCTCTCTCTCAGAATTTGCATGAAAAGTACAGTTATTAATATTTATTGATAGTGTATGTTTGGTCTTTAGGTTTTTTTAGTGTCAAAGTCAGCAAGATTCCTGGCAGTTACAGAAGTAAATGAGGACAGCAAAAAAAAAAAAAAAAGCCAAGAAAACCACAAATACTTTACCTGCCCCAGAGTACATTCCATGCCACCAAGGAAATCTGCTTCTTTCAGCCCATTGTGATTGTTGCTGATATCATGGACTTCAAAACGTAGCCTCTGTACTTCTTCAAAATAAAAGTCCACTGTGAATAGCTTTGAGAAGACAGGGTTTATGCAAGTTCTTATGACTTCTGTCCGGTCAACCTGTCAATCAAAAGAGTCAGCTATCAGGGATTTTTAAAAGTCATTTAAAACAGATTTGAAATATAGAACACATGTAACAATCTAAGTCAAGGAGAAAATTATGTTTAACAAAGCTTTTTTAAAAAATATGAAAAATTATAGAGGATAAAAATCATTCTAATAATACACCTAGACTCAAGAAACACCATCCAGCCAGAGCTGAAGAAGCTTCTTGGATGAGAAGCAAAACATGTTCAAACTGTCCAAAAACCAGAAGTCTAATTGCAATTGTCCAATTGCCTCTTGAAAAAGGACCTTTGGGACAACCATGACCTGGATGACTGAGAATCTCCATAGATTCAAGAAACAGTTTTGGTAGATAGTTTAAGAGGGACAGGACAAACTGTGTAGCAACTTTAGAAACCATCAATCTAAGTTAACAACCTCACATTAGCTTCTACTATATATTCTAGTACAGGTTAGATTAGGAATGAACTTGTATTTATTGTCACATATTCTGACATACAGAAGAGCAAACAAATCCAATCTGGGTCTGTAACAGTTTTATGTCCTCCCTTCATGACTGGTTTCTATTCATAGCCATGAAAAACGTAGGTTGAATTTATATCTGCTCAAGAATATGAGAGTGTGAAACAGGATATGATGGCTCTCACTCAATGATTTGCATCTGCAGAAGTTCCAGAGATTATAGAAATCAAATACAATAGCTCTCCTTGGTCTGAAATTAGAGTGATCAGCCATCTGGCAAAATAAGAACATGCCCTCCTTTTTGTCCTCATGTTCTTCATCTGGCAGGCATAGCCTTAAAATCAAATGTTTGGGTTTTTGAGTCTCTAATAACAAGGCATCACTCTGCTGCACAGTATTTTCCTAATGATGGAAAATTAACAACTTTTCTCTGCGGCTTTAATTAATTGATTAGTATTCTTTTGGTTTGCACTGCTGCCTGAAATTGACAAGACCTTAATCAGATACATGCTAAAGGGCTTTTCCTCCTAATCAGCAAATCCTTGCAATTGAAAATCCAGTCCTTCTGATGCTGAAAAAAATAATTTCATATACATGTAAGCCAAAGTACTTTTTTGCACCTTTTCCCTGTAATTTTTATCATGAATTTCAAAGTATGTTTCTCTTGCCCACCCCCACCCTGTTCTTCTTTCCAATTGTGAGTGTCCTCCTTTGCTTGTTCAGATATCTGATAATCCTACTTGAGAACTCTTAAAAGGCAATCTGAATTATAGCATCAAAAGTTTTCCTGATAGTTATACATTTGGATTGTCTACTAACTTTAATAACGTGAAAATAAAAATACAGTTCCAATAAACATTTTTTATAGTACTGACAGTGCAAAGCTATGTATTCTACTATATCAGGGGTCTCAAATTCAATTTACCTGGGGGCCGCTGGAGGCAGAGTCTGGGTGAGGCTGGGCCGCATAAGGGATTCCACAAAAAACATTGTTAAAAAAATATCCTCAAATGTCATCAACAGTTAGATTTCTCCAATACATGAACTGTCCTGAACACATGAATGGAACATTGAATGAAGATCATGAACAGTTCCTCAGAACATGGCTTCTCCAGCTTACTCCTTGCTGCCAGAGACTTGACAATGCTTCCTCTCACATATCTGAGCCACATTTGGCTTGAGAGAGGAGGCACTTGAGACCCTCAGTATGGCTTGAAGATGATCATCAGTAAGTCTGGACCTGTACTTGGACTTGTTAAAGTTCAGGGTGGAGAAGAAGCCACGACGAGGAACGGCAGGCGGGACTTCCTTCAGAGGTCCATTCCCCCTGCGGGCCGCACTAATATTATACTTTCATATCACGGTGGGGGCCACAGGATATCGTCCTGCGGGCCACAATTGGCCCGCAGCCCGCGAGTTTGAGACCCCTGTACTATATTCAGTGGGCCTTATTTCTTTGAAGAAAAGTCAGCATTGCAGTTCCAATGACATGTAAAGCATTTTTTACTTATTGAAATATGCAGTTATGCCATTGTCAGTGTCTTAAGTATTGATTACATTCAGGAAGCCTATGAAAGAAAATCTTGCAATTGCAAATGAAACAAAGCGAGGTGAAATTAGTAAGAAAAACATTGGAAGCAAAATATAACCTATGAATTTGCAATACAAACAATTTATACTTCACTCCAGAATCCAAGACTATGTTGTTGTTGTTTTGAAAATTTTATTGATTTTTAAAAACAAACATAAACAAACAAAACATAAAACTTAAAAACATCTTTTTTGAAAGCAGCATAATCCCGGGTTACATCTCTTCGTACAGTCACAAATTCAAGTTCATGTTCATTTTTATATTCCATTCCATATCTTATTACTATTCTATATTTTCTATATAGCTTCTCCCCTCTTTTAACTTTCTTAATTTTATTTTATTTATTTCATCTCAATTCAAATCATTGTACTTATATTCTTTGTCTGTCCTGTTTCAACTGTCTACTATCTTTTCTCATTGAACAAAATTTCTCCTGTAATCACTGATTGGAGTATGACGCCTTTATATCTTTCCCCTATAATTATAACACTTAATATAATACATAACTTCCATTCGCATCCTGCTTGGTACATTCTAAAACTACACACTGTATTTTTTTAAAAAAGAAAAAAATTATAAATGTATAATATAATTAAAACAACAATCCATACCAATTCAATTCTATCATTAATATTAATATTCATTTAAATCTTAACGTTTTACACATTACTTTTCAGATAAGTATCATACTTCTATGGGAACACTTATAAACTTTCCATAGTTAATTCCCCCCCACTTCACTTATATTTTATAAAACCTTAAGTAATTAAAATGTTCCTGTTCCTTCCTAATTCAATTCTCTCATTTATTTTATTTCATTTATTTTATTCACAAAAGTTTCACTAAATTACACTGACTATTTTATCCCACTTTTTAATCATATGTTGTTTCCAATTTTCTAACATTATTTCTATTACAAATATAACAATACAATCTTATGTACCTTCACAGAATCCCCTTTTCAGTTAAATTTTCACCCATTATCTCTGAATAAGTCCTGTTTCTTTACATCTTGCTCCAAACCTTTGTAACTTCTCTTCCTTTCTTCTTCTCTCTCCTCTTTTTACCCCCCTGTCTCTCCACCTCCATTTCCCTCTTCTGTATTCCCCTTTTCTGTTGCTTTCCAACTTTATATCCACTTTTCAAATTATTTTTCCCTTTTTTGGCTGTTTTTTAAAGTCTTAAATTCTCCATTCTCTTTTCCCCCTTTCCCCTTTCTTCCCCAAATAGAGTTACTTGTTCATTAAAGATGGCTTCTTCTTTGTCCCAATCTTCTAGTTGCGCAGTCTTTTCTTGTTGTTTCTCATAGATGCAGATTGCCATTTCTAAGAATTGAAAAACGGAGCCAAAGAAGCCCTTCCCTTCTTGTGTCTCTTCTTTATATTTTTTTAAATTCCATTTTCAGTTCATCCATAAGTGATGCCATTGTGGATTTTTTTAAAACAGCCACCCAATTGTTTTTAGTCATTCAAATATAATATCCAAAAATCCCAAAGTCACCAAGCAATCCAAATACACACAAGCTGTTTCTTTTTACACTTTCTTCTTTCTTCACTTTCTCTTCCTGGGGTTACTATTTAGTTCCAAAGTTCCAGTTAAAATGTATCTTTTAGAAGTCTTATTGAGACTTTACTTTAGATTTTTTTGAAGTCCAGGCAGTCTCCTCCTTCCAAATCCTGCCCTTATTCTTTTCCTCTCCCTTCCTCCTTATAGAAAAAAAATTTTTTTTTAGTGTCCAGAAATCTTTATTGTCCCTTTGGCATTTAATTATATTTTCAGTTTTACCTATTAATGCCAAAGCGGATTTTTCCGATTTCTTATTCAGCTCTCTTCATTGTCAATGTGAGGAAGGAGAGTGGAAAAAAAACCTTTCCCTTTTCACTTTCTTTCGCTGCTTCCGACTCTTCTTTGGGAGCAATGTTATCTTTTATAAAATTTAAATTCCAGGGTACCTTAGTTGTTGCTTTTTATCCTGGTCAGCCAAAACTTTCACTTCTTATCTTCCTCCTGCACTTTCTTTTCCGGTTGAGTGCTTCTTTGAGGGGGCCATTTCTGACCACCGCTCCTACCGCCCTTGGGAAAGGGAGTTTGGCCGGCTAAGGAGGAGAAATGCGGCTCCCCTCGACCCTGCTGGCGATCTCCCCCCTCTTCACCACCTCTACGGGGTGGCTTATCCCCGAAGCCAGCTGGCTCAGGGCGCTCCAGTGGCGAGCCCAGGCAGAAACCGCGCACGATCGCAGATTCCTGCCTGCCGCCGAAGCCCTGCAAACTGGAAGCCAAGACTATGTTTTTATTAACTATGTTTTCACACCATTTCACCTGCATGCCACAAATGAAAAGCCAATGAAAAAGGTCACTTAGATCTTTTGTTTTTGCATTAACTATGTTTGAAAATAGCAGCAAGTAACTAATGTGAAATTAACCTTTTCCAAGTATAGCTGGAATATTGTGTTGGAGCTGCTTTGCCCTAGCCCTAATTTAATCTGTAAATTAACTATATGATTAAGTTCATTTATAGACACTAAAATATGCATATCTCCAAAATATCTGTCAGTACAAATGGAATGTGATTGACAGAGCTATTGCACCTTAAATACAGTGATATAATTAATCATCCAGTCCTGGAACAGGAATACTGGAGGAATTGATTCTCAACTTGTAGGATCTCACATACCACTTTAGGTTGAGAAACCTACATAGACTGAGGAGCGTATAGATAAATACATAAAAGAAGGAAAACCCTGCTGAGTGAATTAAATTCCACTGAATGATGTCCAACATTGATTGTTACCCAATGATTTCAGTTAATTCACATATTCAGTCAAAAATTGATTGGGAAATCATGGTATAAAGGTATGTGTGAATTAATGTAAAGCAAATTTAAAATAACATAATAGTTTCTAGTATTTTATTTTTCTATACTGTGTAAGATGTATGGATC